CATTTATAACTTTTTTTCTAAAGTTGATCAGTTGCTTATCTTTAACATACCACAAAAAACCTCTTTAGTATTTGTGAAGATTAACAAGTTTAAAATAAAAACAATCATAACATCACTGCTTCATTTTATTTTTAAGTAAAGTTGGTTCGGCCCCTGAACACAGTTCAGATTTTTCATGTGCTCCCTCTATAGAAATTAATTGCCCACCCCTGCCGTAGGCAATAGTATCAGACAACAGTTTACTTGAACTCTCTACATGGTCAATCTGTATGCAGAGATATTATATAGAAAGCAGGATGAGATTCAGATGAATGAAGAGTAAAAATCAGAAGAAATAACTATAATACAAGATATACTGATTATGACATATTACTGGCACAGACAAGCAGTAATTTGAACTGACTATTGATGAAGGTGAAAGAAGAAAGCACAAAAGCAGGACTAGAAGTGAATGTTAATGAGATAAAAGAATTAGATTATTTCAGTACTGGCAATGAAGAAAGCAAAATTGGTAAAGATTTTCAACATGTTGGTTGAACTGTCAGTTGAGGAAAAAATGATACAGTACATGTGAACTGTGACATTGGAGGAGGGTTTTGTGAATACCATGGACTGCTAGAAAGAAAAATAAGAAGGTTCTAGATCAACTCAAACCTGAACCTTGCTAGAAGCAAAAGTGACTCAAATGATGTTATTGTACTGTAGGTACATCACAAGAAGACAAGACTCATTGGAAAAGACAATAATGACAGGAAACATTGGGTGCATCAGGAAAAGAAGTGGATCCTTCTGTGAAGGAGAAATAGTAGGTCAGAAGGAAAATGATGAGAGTGTGCCGTCTATCCAAATTAGAGAACCATTAAAAGAGAGAATAAGCAGGGAAGCAGAAGGGTTGATTATAAAAGGAAAATAAGAGAAAGAAGGAAAGGTGTAAGTTTGTTTGGTGGAGGAAGGAAAGGGAAAGGAAGGGGAGGAGTTAACCTTACCCATGTGGGAGGAAGATAAAAGGGAGGAGGAAAAAGGGAGAGTGTTCAGAGTACCGCGGGAAGAAATGAAGAAAGGAAGAGAGGTTGAATATAAAAAAACGCGGGGGTTCTTGGAATATTTCCCCAACCTGAAGGTGGGAGGGCTATTGCCTGATCCTGATCCTAAAGAGAAAAAGGTGACTATTACTGAAACACAAGAATGGACAGTGCAGTCCATTTTTCCCAAGAGAAGGGTGATCTGGCCCGACATCACTGTTGCGGCACGATCTGTGCCGTGAGGAGCGCTCTGTTGAGGAAGCCAACCGACAGAGAGCGATTCGGACCAGCCCCGCAGTAAACCCTATCAGATCTCCATTTGGAGAGTTACCATCTTCATATGGACAGTTGACAGATTTAGGTTGTTTTGACCCTGTTGAAGTAATTGTTGAATCTCCTGAAGTTAACTTTAATAAATTTGTTGATCGTTCAAACGACTCCTCTTGGTTATTTCCTGCCCAAAGAGAGGAACTGCCACCCCTTTCGACCAAACCCAATCACAAATCCATAAAGGAATTTGCCACCTCCAGTCTGCAGCAACTGAGCAGGGCTGTTAATGATAGGACTTCTGGGAAGTCATCCATTCACAGAGTTTCTATAAGTTGTAATCAACCTAACAGAACATAACAACAACAGTTTATGATTTGACCACTTTTATTAAAAATTAACTTCCATTGGCACATCCTGGTCATAGCTTGGGGAAATTACTTTTTGGACTGTCTTCCAGAATCATAGTTTCCCAAGCTCTGATCCTGAGCCATGGAAGGCTGCTTGACATAGACTTAGGCTTGAAAGAGTTTTTCCTATTTGCATCATTTCACTTTTCAGCCATATTTGTAATGATTTCATTTGGGACTTTTTAGCTCAGCAGAAAATAACTCCAACCTGCTGTACCAGTGGAGCTGCTTGGTTTCCACGGTGTAAGATGACATCAGACATTGTTGGCTTATGCTAATCTTCAAGGGCAATTACATTGTAGTTCAGGATAATAAGCAGAGAAAGGAACAAAGTGCTCTTCCTAAGAAGATTTCAATTTAGATTGGTAACTTGCCAGTTTGTTTTCCTTTCCAAATCAATACAAATGCTTTTCTTCTCTGAATTCCTCCCATCATTACATATAAGTAGGATATTTTAGTCTGGGGTTTTATTTAACAGCAGCTCAGAGACCCATTTAAAAGAACACAAAAATAGTTTCCATTTTCTTTTGGCATATTTGAGACAGAAACTCAAAAAGGGTAACGCTGTAAATGCATCAAATTATTCCTTCATTCTATTTTGTTGTATTTCTTACCAATAAGCACTTAACATGGCATGTTTTATGCTAAGATGAATTTGAAAACAGATTATAACACGCACATAACTCCACTCTGTTTGATGCCTCATTATTATGCAGGTAATAAATATTCGAATGACTAATACATTTGTGTATCAGCTGGTTCCATCAAACAATATTGTTCATATGACATATTTGTCTGCAATACTTGATGCGTGATAGGTATTTCACTCACCCTTTCCTTCACATGACATTGTAGTCACCGGGCAGTACGTGTGACTTTATACAGCACATAGCATAAAGTTGAATTTTTAAGAAGCAGTTTACCATTCCCTTCTTCTGGGTGTGCCTTGGGACCATACAGTTTGCCCATGGCTACACAGGCTAGCTCTACTCACAGGAGGCACAATGGGGAATCGAACTCCCAACCAGAAACCTAAGCCACTGAGCTACCCAGCCAGCTACCACTCCTCACATAAGCCTACCCCAATTTTAAGATCCTTACAGGAGACTTTGCTGTCAGTTCAACATCACCACAGGCATGCTTAGTGAGGACATGGAAAAAGGTATTTTCAGTGACTGTGGCTTTCAGTTCCCCGGTGGTGGAACTCCTTCCCTAAGGGAACCAAGTTGCCCCCTCACTGTTGTCCTTCCAGTAACAGGCAAAAAGCTTTCTATTCAAGTAGGCATTAGGCATTGGCTACTAAGGAAGAAATGTTAATGGGGGGAAATCCTTACTTATTTTGCTTTAAAGTACACTTTTACATTACTTTGGAATTTTTGTATTTATTTTTATTTTTGGCTTTAATATGATGCTATGTTTAACTTGGTTTTTTGACAGTGTGATTTATTGTATTTTTAAGCATTAATTGTCTTTGTGATGTGTCGTAAATCGCATTGTATTTCAAGACAGGAAGATTGGGAATAAAAAGAATGAATGAAATGGTGACGTGTTGAATTTTAACTGTCCTCCGAGCTGCACTTGGTTTGGGGAGACATCTTGCCATTTGCTTCAAAATCTCTGGGTCTACTCTGAAAATTGAAGAAACCTTTCTGCTGGAAAATCCTGCTATTGGCAAGGACGGTGTATGTTGCAGCCTATGTACCCAAACACATCAGCTAGGATATACTGTGGATATTGTGTCTAAAGGTCTAGGTCTGAAGGTCATTTTATGTTCTCAGGCCCTGGTCACACGAGGGAAATGTTCTTGAGTTATCCCCCAGTTAGACTGTTGCTGTGCATCATGTGACTGGGGAGGGGGGTCACACCATGCACAGTCAAGACTGAAACATTTTCCTGACCATCACTGTGACTAGGGTTTATTTTACATTCCCTAGGAGGGTTGTATTATTTTGTACCTTTGTTGTATTGGTGCATTCCTTACTGGAATTGCCTGTGTGCATGACCTGCTCCAGTTTTTTCAGAATTGAAACCAGAAAGATGGTCACCAT